GGGTTCAAGTCATTCTCCTGCCTCAGCCTCCAGAGTAGCCAGGATTACAGGCATGAGCCACCATGCCTGGCTAATTTTTGTATTTTTAATAGAGACGGGGTTTCGCAATGGTGGCCAAGCTGGGAATGAGTCTTAAATGATACATATCACTGGGCAAGACATACTGGAAATCTGCTTTCTTAAGCCAGTGCCCGGTTTTCCAGGAAGCCATTTTTAATGTTTCAAACAGAGAAGCTTTTGGATAAATGCCTAACTCCTCTTCCTACTTTGTTTTGTTTTGTGTTCCACAGGCCAGGGTCAAGCCCCACCGGACCTTCAGATTTAATGAGTGTGTCTGTACACCCTACAATGCTGACTTTGATGGGGATGAAATGAACCTTCATCTTCCTCAAACAGAAGAAGCTAAAGCAGAGGCCCTTGTTCTGATGGGGGTACGTAGGGTGGCACAGCCCAGATTTTGCGTAACAGCTCCTTAAAAGGACGCAAAAGGGAACTTATATATGAAAACACCACCACAACTAACAATGCCAGAGAAGCCAGGCTCTTTCTGTTCTTAAACCGACCACTATCTGCCTATTTATCGCTCTTTTCAATGGTTTCTTTTGAGCCTTTGAAGAACTCTTTGGAAATAGTGTATATACGAGTTAGGGTCTGTAACAGATGCATTGAGGGGATTTTCCAGCCTATAAATGTGGGTTCTGGGAGAAAATGTATACATGAGGACCAGTTATGACAAGATAAGAAAAGAATACAGCAATACCAGTGTTGGTTGTCACAGGGGAAGATGTCCTACCTAAGCAAATTTTCCAGTAGCTGAAGATTCATTAAGCACCAGCACATTTTCTTGAACATTCTGAATGGAAACCTTCCAAAACTGTATTACATGCTTCGCCTTCTTAATGCAGTATTTTACATAAGGATAATAACTCTTACCACCATTTTATTTTACAAATGCATACGGAGTGGATCCTGTAGCGGATCAGTGACAGTAAGGCACGTGCCTGCTCTTAAGGAGCTTATACTTGGGCTTCAACTGTTGGCACAGGCCAGGTACGGGGGCTCAGGCCTGTCATCCCAGCACTTTGGGAAACCTAAGCAGGTGGTTCACTTGAGCTCAGGAGTTTGAGACCAGCCTGGACAACATGGCAAAACCCCATCTCTACAAAAAGTAGGCGTGGTAGTGCACGCCTCTAGTCCCAGCTACTCGGGAAGCTGAGGTGAGAGGATTGCTTGGGCCCAGAGGTCAAGGCTACAGTGAGCTGTGATTGTGCCACTGCACTTCAGCCTGGGCAACAGAGCAAGACCTTGTCTCAAAAGGAAAAAAAACCTGTTGGCCCTACAGGTACTATTCACTCCTGACCCATCAGTGACACAGTGGGGCGTAGTACCTGCTGTGTAGGATTTTTCCCTCCTGAACTTAATGATCCCCAGCTATTGAGTATTTCAAGCTTCAGGCTTTCTTTTTTCAGTATTCCAGCTTCCTATATTAGGAACTGATAAGTCTTACAGTTATAAGTGTCCCTCCCTCCAAAAACACTTATGACCCTTTCTGATGCGATGCTTTTAACCTGTTTTGGTTTAGACTTTTAGTAATGCATCATAGTTTTGGGGTTTTGTCTCTATGTTTACATTTATTTTCTACAATGAGCATATATTATTTTTGTAACAAAAAGTCATGTTTAGAATGCTGCTAGGAATAATAGCAATCAGGTTGCACAACCAACCGTTTAGACTTTGTTGTTGACTCTGCCATTGAGGATCCAAACTGTGGACATTGTGTTATAACTACATATTTCACTGGCTACAAATGGCAGTCATATAACAAAGGCTCCACAGATGTTGGGGTAGCAGAATCCTTAGTTACCATGTGGGACAAGTTCCCTCAATTTCAAATGAGAAAATACCTATGGTTCTGATTTAGTGCTGTTCTCAGTGGATTGCATAGTGCTCTAATTTGGATGTGGGCCCAAATTACTCAGGAGACCTTTTCAAAATACACAGCTTTCAGCCCCTTGCACCCTGCTTCTACCCCTAGACTGCCTGTATCCCTCCTCAGAGATTCTCTAAACCAGGAGGAAGAGCAGTCAGACAGGTGTGCAATAGCCACATCTGGCTGAACAGCTGCCTCCCACTGTAGTTGAAGGGTTCCTGCTTTGGCTTGTGGCTCAGAAGTAGGTGGTAATGGGGCTTTGTCTGAGAGGACCCTGCATTCTGGGTGAGAAGCCCCAGAAAACCCACAGACACACTTGGCACTTTCACATCAAGATGAGAGCAAATGTACTCTGATATACACAGTCTTCTTTACATGAGTTAATTATGTTTTACCAGCTAACACCCTTTTTGGCCCAGTGTAGACCCTTGTTAAATGTTTAATTAAATTATGTTGTTGAATTATTATTAGAACTTAATGTCTTAACCAAGAGACATTTAGCAGTTCTGTCATCATTGTGGACAAGTGTGGAATTGGTTGACTTCAGAGGTAACAACCCTCCTTATCACTCACAGAAATGAATTTTCTTTGGAGAAGCATGTATAGTAATAACAATTGGGCCGAGTGCAGTAGATCATGCCTGTAATACCAGAACTTTGGAGCCCTAGGCAGGAGGATCCATTGAGTCCAGAAGTTCCAGACCAGCCTGAGCAACAAAGTGAAACCACCATCTCCACAAAAAATGCAAAAACTTAGCTGGGCATGATGACGTGGGCCTGTAGTCCCAGCTGCTTGGGAGGCTGAGCTGGGAGGATCCCTTGAGCCCCATGAGGTTGAGGCTGTGGTGAGCCATATTCACGCCACTGCACTCTAGCCTGGGCTGTTGAGCAAGTTCCTGTCTCAAAAACAAACAAAAAACAATGAAATCTTCTAACATGGGTAGAGTTCTTCATAGAATTCTGAAGCAACTTCACTTGGTATTTCATTTTGGTGTTGGTAGGAACCTCCTAGGTCAATCTTGCTGTATTTTTTTCTCTCCGCTTGACAGATAAAGGAACTGGGAGTTAGTGATGAAGCTGGGGTTCAGACCCCTGTGTTTCATTTCTCAACTTCATCCTTCTGCTACTCTGCATTTGTTCATAGCTATTCAAAAACCTTGTGATTCAGGCTTTGGGCTGCATCATGCATCCATAAACAGCTAACTTACTTCGCTTACTTTTCCTATAGACTAAAGCAAATCTTGTAACCCCGAGGAATGGGGAACCGCTGATTGCTGCTATTCAGGATTTTCTAACAGGTGGGTTGGTGAAGTTCACTTAAAGGAGACTTCTGACTGGAACACAGTGTTCCTCGTTCACAGTGATTCATATGATGACTTGAAAAGCTATTTAATAGCCTGTGTTTAATTTGGTCTTTTCTTTGCTAAGTTTGATCATGAACTTCCTCCTGGGTTTTTTTTCTTTTTAATTGGTTGGTTATTCATTAATTCAGCAAGTCTTTAGTGAGCTTCTCTCATGGACTGGGCATTTTCTAGACCTAGTGTTTGGCTTAGAATCTGTCCCCTTTGCCTGGGGATACACAGTGAACAAAACAAAGTCGCTTTCCTCTGGAGTTGGATGCTGGTTGGAGGAGAGAGCCAGTAGCAGCTGTTTGTTTTAATTTGAGCCGTTTGTCATGGTTCAAGTGTATTTTAAAATGGAAACCTTGCCGTTTTCTCACAATTTCATTCCTTTTCTTTGTTTTGTGTTGGTTCCTAACACTTAGGTGCCTATCTCCTCACTCTCAAGGACACTTTCTTTGATCGAGCCAAGGCCTGCCAAATCATTGCTTCAATATTGGTTGGCAAGGATGAGAAAATTAAAATTCGCCTTCCACCGCCTACAATATTAAAGGTGTGTGTGGGAGCTGTGTCTTGGTGCACAGGGGTGTGTTTGTGTCTGGGTGGGTGAACTGGTGAAGTGAGTGGAACCATGTTGGTACCAGGCTTGAGGGCAGTCCCTGGGCCATCTGGCTTTGTCTACTGAAGGGGGTTTGAGACCATGCTCAGCCCACTAACTCTCAGGCTTCCTCCCCTCCCTCAGCCCGTCACCCTATGGACTGGAAAGCAGATCTTCAGTGTCATCCTCAGGCCTAGTGATGACAATCCAGTGAGGGCCAACCTGCGAACCAAGGGCAAGCAGTACTGTGGCAAAGGGGAGGATCTCTGTGCCAATGATTCCTGTGAGTGGCCGGAACTCCAGTGGGGAGGAGGAGGGATGCGACAGGAAATCAAGTGGCCAGTGGTCAGCTTCACTTAAGCGGGCAAATTCAGTGTTTCTCTATGCCTTAGATGGGAAGTTTATTCTTCAGGAAAATGTAGCTGGTATTTCTTCTCGCAGGTGTAATTCCCCAGTTCTCTAAAAAGTAGAGATCATATAGACACGTGACCCAATGGTTAGCATGTTCTCTCTAAATGTGTTTTGTCTTAAGTGACTAGTTTTTGTCACTCAGTACAGTTTGTCTTTGTCATTTTTTTTTTTGCCATCAACAAGGATTTTATTATTTAAGGCATTTAATTTATTATTTTGCATCCAAAAACATGTTCATTATCTAACAGTAGGACTAAAAAGTATAATTTAAAACTTTTTTTTTTACTTGTTTTGGAAAGGATTTTTTTTTTTAAAAATGAACAGGTTCTCCCTATGTTGCCCAGGCTGGTCTCGAACTCCCAAGCTCAAGTAATCCTCCCACCTCAGCCTCCCAAAGTGCTGGGATTACAGGTGTGAGCCACCACACCCAGCCCGGGAAAGGATTTACATGCAAGTCATCTGAATCTGTCTAAACCAGTTCAACCGGAAGTGCAATCCACAGAGCACTGTTTTTTTAGCCAGCATCTTTTGAGTTACTTTCTGATGTGAGCGCCTTAGCTCACCCAGACCACTAACAAGCAGTTCTCCAGCAGCCTAGTTTGAGTAGCACTGACTCAGAACGGGCTTTGCTGGCGAAACCTCAGGACTAGAAATGGTTCTCCAGAACTCTGTACTGAAGAACTGAATTGCAGAGTTTCTCTGAAGGTCAGGATTTCTGCTGTCTTCTAATGAAGAGCAAATGTTTTGAAGGGCACTGATATTCCGTAGGTTTATTTCTTTGGAAATATGCTCTCTGATCTTCACAATACTTCAGCTTCTTATTTTAAACTGTTTTGTTTCTTCGTGGATATGAATTTCGTGATGCTGTTGTGTAGGCGGTACATGACGGTAGCTTTGTTAATTTTCAATATCTTTTTTTTTTTTTTTTTT